GTCTACAGGGTGTGGATCATTTTCATCCAATACAAAGCAAATGAAGGGCCATCTGTCTTTCTCCTGGTACAGAATTTCCCTAACTGCAATGACGGACTTGGCAGGTATCAGCATAATCAGATCAGGTTTTCATTTGAGTATTTCGTACATTAACAGCAAGCAGGGGGGCTGGTGTAACATATGGTTATATACAGTGAACCAGGAATTCCCTGATTCAAATCTCACCTTTGCACTAAATTTTAGCCTCAATTTCTCTCACCACGTACAACACAGGAGAAAGAATAATACTGACCTATATTGCAGGCTGTTGTATGGATGATTACCTTTTTTTTTTTACCTTTACCTATGGATGACTGAATGCCTAAAACAGTTGTATCCTTTGGGAGTGTAAGAAGTGACCTATGCGATAAGACCAGGATTACATCCATCTTATTTCCATTCCAGTTGTGGCTATACACTTCTTTGAGGTGTATAAATTGGGCATCTATGCTATGTGCTTCTCCAGGGAATGGCTGCAGCTCAGTGGTAGAGGATCTGCTTTGTCTGCAAAAGGCCCAAGATTTAATCTCCAGCATGTCTGGGAGAGATCCATTTCTGAAATACTGGAGAGCAGCTGTCCATCAGCACCGACAATACTGAGCTAGATAAACCAATGGGCTGACTCAGTATAAGATAGCTTCCTATGCTACTATGTCCCCCATCTGCCAACTCTTCTGCACTCATCGTGTGTGCTTATGTATTCAAATGCATGCTACTGAGCCTGGAGGTTAGACTAAGTTGCATGATCCACCAGCACACTGCGATAGCATCACTCATACTCAGGCCAGGGATGCGATGGTTTAAATAATAGAAATGAGGCAATGCCCTATCCACTGTATTTAAGTAACATTTGCTCAGAGTAGACCCATTGAAAAAGGGAACTAAGTTAGTCATGGCCACTAATTTCAATGGGTCTACTTTGAGAAAAAGTTGAACGGAACCCAAAGTAAGAAGGGAGAAACTTCACAACCGCTTAATTCCAGCAAGCTAAAATTATACACCAGTGACTGCATCATTCTCTGATTGCTCCTAAACTCTAATGACCCAACTTCTTCAAATAGTTGTCTTAGTATTCCTAGTTAGTCCTGGTACCTAGGGCAAGAAGAATTATAGGGAACAATGGAGGCCCTCATCCAAGGTTTTTACATTGTCTCATGTACTAGCTCCATGGCTGCCACCATGTACAGTAATTGTTTTAGAGGGGAAAGGAGCTGCTGGTGATGATGGGTGCAGTGTGCTTGAAAATAAAGAACTTTTTTTCTTGGGAAACAAGTTGTTTTAGGTAAGTCCACTATGAACTGATATTTTCAATGATTATCACTAACATGTAACAGAGATAGAAATTGGTATCCCAGTGTGCAGTGGGAACTCCAGATATTGTTGAAGTCTCACTTTTATTTTTCATGCACAAATATAGATTGGAACACCCCCTTCTTGTGAAACACTCTATGATGAGGATGGAAAATGTTTGTCCCTCCAAATGTTGTTGGACAACCACTCTCATCACCCTTAACAACTAGCCATGCTGGCTGGGGCTGATGGTAGTTGGGTACCACTAATAAGACATAAGAAGCATCTGCTAGATCTGGCCGGTGACTTATAAAGAAGGCTGATAGCCAAAGAATTGATGCATTTGAATTATGGTGCTGGAGAAGACTCTTGAGAGTCCCATGGGCTGCAAGAAGATCAAACCTCTCCATTCTTAAGGAAATCAGCCCTGAGTGCTCACTGGAAGGACAGATCCTGAAGCTGAGGCTCCAATACTTTGGCCACCTCATGAGAAGAGAAGACTCCCTGGAAAAGACCTTGATGAAGGGAAATATTGAGGGCACAAGGAGAAGGGGACGACAGAGGACGAGATGGTTGGATAGTGTTCTCGAAGCTACCAGCATGAGTTTGACCAAATTGCGGGAAGCAGTGGAAGACAGGAGTGCCTGGCATGCTGTGGTCCATGGGGTCACGAAGAGTCGGACACAACTAAACGACTAAACAAAAACAACACAGAGAGGCAAAAGTTTCTCATCCATATGTAATGATTGTCAACACTCTCAGAGGGAGATGATCAGGCACTGGGGATCTTAGTCAAAGAGGAGATTGTTCAGATGAGAATGGCCGAGAATGAGAAGATGGGAAGAGAACCAGGAAGGAGGTTTGCTGGCACCAGCCTTTAGCTAAATTTACCATAAGACTGTGCACTCTATAACAAAATAATAGTAAGAAGATCAATCATCTCAAGCAATGGCATCCCAGATTCTACACAGAATTTCCAGCACATAAAGCCATGGAAAACAGACAGCTCTGATTATGAGACTTATGAAGTGTGTGTAATAATGCAGCCACTGACAGACATTTAAATAGATTCCCTCTGGCATTGCCTGTACAGCGTCTCTGCTCTGCTGCCTTGCACATGTTCTCCAACAGCTGCAGATGGATGTTAGCTGGCAACATAAGTGCCTCCTTGCAGCTTTTGCCATCCCCCAAGCTGAAAAGTGATGGTGGCTGCATGGAGTTTGGCTTTACTGATGAGTGGCAGAGCCTGGCAGAACGTGCCATGCTGCCAAGCTGGCTTTGCTCTTGTACTCTGGCATTTCCTGTGTTTGCTAGAAGGGACACAAGACACAAGAAAATTGTTTTGGACAAAGGCTACCGTTTTATGTAAATTTGTATCCAGTAACCCAATTAACGCATCTGAGATTTTATAATTCTCAGCCTCAGAGTTTGTTCTTCTGGATAATTTTGTGTCACCTGGGCTCAGGCTGAGGTCTGTTCCCCGAAATTGATTCTATAAGTACAACTGTCTTTCTATACATGGAGCAAGAGGTTAGGATCTGAACTAATGTGTTTGCCCTCCCCGACCCCCACTGCCTCTAGTTCTTTTTATTTTCCAGCTGTGTGAAAAACTATGCACAGGAGCATAAGATACTATATTCTTGTTATCTCACTTTTGTAGATAAATGCCCCAAACTTGCAGTGTCACTTTTGGGTGAGATAAAATGATTGCACTCAAATTGAACTGACCATTTCACACATTCCTACATGGAAGCCCCATCAAAGAGGATGCAAATTAGCAGCATGCAAACTCTCTGTAGCATATTGGGGAATCAGCATGGGGTACACGGGTCAATACCTACGTGATTTGTCTTCCTCCATTGACTTTAACATCAATATCTTTTCCAATAAGTATCACACATTCCACCTTCCTCACCCTCAAGTCATGATGGCTCTTAATTGCCCATGAAGCAACACTATTGATAATTAGTGCAAGAAAGCCAATCACCACCAGCTAATTAGCTTTCATTTCCTATGGTCATTTCTTTATGCTAATGGTAGTGATTTGTATGAAATCCTAATTGGACAACAAGATTTGCTTAGGAGATCAGTAATAAGCCATGTGTTTGCTAACTAGCCGGAGGGCATGGTCAATGCAAAACATCCTGTTTCAATAACATTTGCTCTTTGTACAAATGAATAATGTTTTAAGGCTCTGTGTACTAAGCACCATTTATCTGTGCTAGCTTTCACTTATATTCTAGAGAGCTTTGAGTGTGCCTTTTTCAAAAGCCTCTATACATTACTTAAAGTTCTGCAGCCATTATCATCCATTACTTAATTATTCTTGTACATCAAGGGACAGTTCTGGGGGACCAGCAGTTTACAAGTGTTTTGACTTTTAGCCCTTCCCTATAAAAAGGCAGGGACACGGGTGGCACTGTGGTCTAAACCACAGAGCCTAGGGCTTGCTGATCAGAAGGTCGGTGGTCTGAATCCCCCGCAATGGGGTGAGCTCCCGTTGTTCGGACCCAGCTCCTGCCCACCTAGCAGTTCGAAAGCACGTCAAAGTGCAAGTAGATAAATAGGTCCCGCTCTGGCAGGAAGGTAAACAGTGTTTCCGTGCACTGCTCTGCTTTGCCAGAAGCGGCTTAGTCATGCTGGCCACATGAGCCCAGAAGCTGTCTGCGGACAAACGCTGGCTCCCTCAGCCTATAGAGCGAGATGAGGGCGCAACCCCAGAATCATCCATGACTGGACCTAACAGTCAGGGGTACCTTTACCTTTTTTTTAATAAAAAAACAGGGATGCTGAACACACAACCACACCCATGCCTAATCATGGCTTTCTACATTCTGGTGTCCAGTAAGGAACACCTGCTCTGAAAGTAGCTAGAATTTCTTGTATTGAAACATCCCTCTTCATTCCTTGCAGACTTTCTTTTGAGACGACAGTACCCTGTACAACATCCAGTCACTGTGGAAAGAGTGCCCAAAGGTTCGGAGGTCAATGTTTTAGAACATTGTATCACATTTTCTCTTGATCTACTTGGTATCTGCAAGGATTGTGTGAGGGCAAGGTTTATACTTCTTTTATATATATATAAAGCCAAGTGCAGACATTTTGCAAAGTAGTTTGCTTGAAGTCCTCATGCAGCCCCAGAGGAAAAACATGAAGCTCAGTTTCAGCTTGCATATATTTGATTTAGTTCCCTATCATAGAAAGAACAGGTGAGGGAATAAATTCCTCATTCTTTTTTTAAAAAGCCACAAATTCAAATTTGACAGAAAATAAGGTTATATTGCTCTGTGATAACTGTCATTTCCCTGACTTCTATCAATCCCAAATTCGTGCTTCTGGACTGGAAGTGTAATGCTGAATTTGAAGACGAAATTATTCAAGGAAAGTGATAGCAACTGTATTTCAAACTGATTTAGTTCTCTGGAGAGGAGCTCTCAGGAGATATAAAAACACAGTGTTGGTTTAGAATGTCTTGCCCTTCTTCCCAGGAATCACATTTGTATTATGTAGAATAAGGTAGTAGTAGGGTTTCTGTTAGCATAGTGTCTGAAACAATTACTCCAGTTGCATCTTTATTGCTTTTGACAACATAGAATCAGAGATTCATAGATTTGTGGAGTTGGAAGGGACCATGAGGGTCATCTAGTCCAAACTCCTGCAATACAGGACTCTTTTGCCCAATGTGGGGCTTGAACCCACAACTCTGAGATCAAGAGTCTCATGTTCTACCAACAGAGCTATCCCAGAGTAGACAACCTTCCTTTTCTTAATAGACATAGGAGCAACTGTACATGGAATGTCCTGATTGAAAGGCCCAGTTTGCATATAAAGCTAAGCCATACCATGACTTAGTATAAATGAGCAAACCTGTGGGTTCCCCGGGAGAAGATTGCAGCTGCTTTGCTACTCTTCCAGCCCTGCTGCTGGTATGCACTAAGCCATGGTTTGGTTTAGCATTATGTTTGAGCACAAACTCATGGATTATGTCATCCCAGGCGCAGGGGGACGCTCTACTCAAGGTTTGTCTGTGGCTTGCTACTCATTGTCTGGGGGAGATATGCCACACTCTCTGTAAATGGAGGCCTCTGCCCATTATACCTCCTCCAGCCCAGTGCAAGGCAGGTCTGGATTGCACCCTAAACTATAAATCCTCTTACCAGGGGCATGAGTCTCCTTGGATTAAGTGGCACTTACTTCTGAGTAGGTATGCATAGACAGGGCCAGTTTTAGTTGAAGAGAGGCCCTAGGCTACTCCACCAGCCTGGGGAGGCCGCAGGCCTAGGTTGGGTCGTCCTCTTATACACCTGCTGGGATTGACAAGGCATCTGACCCTCACCTGAATCTCATAGCTCTCCTGTAGCTGCCTCTGATTAGTTATCATTTAACTCTTGGGGGAAATAATTAGCATCACACGTCATGTGCATGGAAGTTGCCGAACCAATTAACCAACTAAAGGATTACTGTTAATAGCACCAGTTTTCCTATAACTTGATATCGCTGGATAGTTTTGATGAACGGCAAAAGCATTTTTAGTTTGCTTTCTATTGCCGCCCTGGAACTTTTCTTTATTAGTGCCACTTTGTTTTGTATGATTCCTTGCAAATGAAGGAAAACCACTTTTCTGATTGTATATGTTGATAATATAATGTTGGTTACCAAGGACAAACAAGATTGTATAAAAACAAGATTGGGTGCTGGCCAGGACATAGGCATCCTGACTGTGATAAAGATGACCTGTGTGCTTGCTTGCTTGCTTGATCAACAGCTGTTGGGAACTTCAAGGTCCCTGCTCTCCCTTCTTATGGTCTTTGTACTGGACCTGGAGACTCCAATAGAGAGCATTCCATGTCAGGAAGGAGGGCAAGTGGGCACTCTATCAAATGACAGGGCAGGAGTTACACAGAGTAGGGCCTTTTCACTGGTGGTGCCCATTATATGCCTCGTTCTACCCAGACCTGGTCTCTTTTGGCCTGTATTTTGGAACTTTATAATTTAGGAGGACTTTGGAATAACTGGTTGACAAGTCTTAACAGTTGCTGATGCATGAACAGATTTTATTTGCTGCTATTCTGTGCTTCTGGTGCACCAGGGTTTACACCAGCATAATAGAGTTGGCCAGGATGCCAGAAGGGATACAGTTTACTAGCTTTCTCCATTATCTGCACAGCAGGGGGTGTTCAGTCAACAGTGCAAAGGCTGAGCTGAAGCATTCCCTGCTGGTTACCTGCTTTCAGCAATAGGGGTCTCTGTTTGGTAGCTGTCAGATTCTAGAGTTCCCTATTGGTGGCTCTTAGGTTATTCACAAAATACAGAGTCCATTCATAAAACACAGTGTTCATTCATAAAGCAGTAACATAAATCTCCATTGCTACATATTGGGTATATATTTCAGCAGTTGAACATACAAGTTTATGGCCATGCTGTAGTGTAGCGCTTATGCGACTGTGAATAAAAGCTGGCTGGGCTCATTGTCTCAGGGTTTGGGGGGGAAGAGGTGACAAAACTGATTTCCAATAAGTGCCCCCCTTTATTTCCATAACAAGTCCTTGAGTCTGTACTCTGAATGGTGACACTAGGGACCTAGAAGGTGCAGGGCTTGTCAGTCAAACCCCTCCACAGTCTCATCAGGGTTGACCTTAAGGCAATTGGAGCTATTGGGCCAACTTTGGCCCCGCGGGCCGCTCCTAAGGGGGGGGGCTGCACCAGGGCAATCTAGATGGATTTTATTTATATCTATAAGATTTCTGCACACTTTGGCTGTGAACTGGGGCCCTACAAAAAAAAAAAATCAAGTTGTGCCCCACTACTTCAAATTGGGCCCCACTGGCTAGCTGGGTAATAATAGTTGCTGGGTTTGCAATTTTGGGAGAGGGGAGACTGCCCGCTGGGGAGCTGGAAGGCTGGCAAGGCCCCCTAGATTTAGAGGCCCTAGGCTTCAGCCTACTTAGCCTATACATAAATCTGGCACTGTGCATAGGCTTTTGCTCTAAGCTACTAAAAACAGTAATGAACCAACCAACCTGTACTAAGAGTTAACAAAGAATTAAGACAAGAGCTGATCTCCACACAACTTTAACTGGGTGATGATTCTGTGTGCTATTTCAAATCACTATTCACCCATGAAATTCACTGAGTCTCATCTTGGGTCTCTCAGCCAAACCTACCTCACAGGGTTTTGGTGAAGATAAAATAGGGAGGTATGGCAACCCAAAGTTGGAAGGAAGAGTGTGATAAAAATGTGATTAAACAAAGAACCAATGCTTAATATTTATTTAACACTGGATTTGTTTCTTTGGATTATGTGCAAGGCTTCCCAATTTCTTTAAGAATATCTAGCACTGGAATGAAGGATAAGCCTCAAAGCTATTGAATGGGAATTGCATCCTACCCAACCGTTTCTTTTTATTCCCTTGTTTGCATTTGAAATGTGTCCCTTTAGAGTTTATGTGATCCAGCTTTTATGACTACATTTCCCAGGAGAAAGAGGCAAAAAAGAAAAGACCAGGGACCATAATAAAAATGGAAGCAACCTGCAACATTGGTGTTTCAGTTCTTACCAGTATGTCCTCCCTAGCAAATAGAAGCTACGGAACTGGGGATTTTCTTCTGATCCCATTCTTTTCGAGTGTTCTTCATCGTCTGTACTCACTGATAAGCTCTTTTGACCTGTATATGATGCAAAATCTGGTCCATGGTGTTTATTGATATATGTATAATATCCAGGAACAAGTCCAGCTATTTTGTATGTCAGTTAAAATATGACCAAAGCAATGAATTCAGATAAATTCCAGAGGGTTAGCGATGTTATTCAGGGATGTTTCCTATCCACAATAAATCACCGTCCTTGATGCAAACCTCATTTGCATCCAATGAACTGGATGCTACAGCTATACAACATGATTTTGTGGAAACAATGTTTAATGGTTTTTGCAAGATCAAAGAGCTTCCATGCAGAGTTGCTGCTATTGAAATGTATGTGTTTTCACCTTTTGATGTATCTCATTGACGCATCCAATGTCAAGAGATATTGCTAAAAGGCCACTGTTTAGTATACCAGAGTTGGCAAATAAGGCATTAATAAATCTGATTATCTGAGTTGTTAAGGATCATATCTTCAAGGTTATATTAGTGGAGTTGTAAAAAGTAAATATGTACTACCATTATCTGCTGACATTCTCAAACGTAAGGGTGAGTGATCAGTGATGGGCTGCCTTTTGGAAGGGACAGTCAGAACTGCCAAGTTAAGAGTTTGACATGTACATATACACAAAAACCCACTACAGCAAGCCAAGTTCAAATTTTGCACACAAAAAAGAGGGAGGAAAGACCCTACCTCATAATGAGTTCTTCAGCACCATCCTTTCCATTTGCCACAAACCATCCTTCTCTTCCCTACAATGTAAATGTAAATTATTTGCTTTTTAGCTTCTTGAATAAGAGGACGGGTCTCTCCCTCCTGAGGCACTAATATTTCAGCAACATCCTATGTTCTTATCTTCACTTAAGTCTATTCAAATTGAGTTGGAGGGTTTTCATAATAATCTACCCTGGAAAGTGCTGATTCAAGTATGGCTAAGGCCACAAGGGTAATATAATTTGGAATACTAATATGTTCTAAATATATGCACATTGGCTTGTTTGCATTTATTTAGTGGTGGGGAACATCTTTCACAATTAAAGGAAACAGCCAGAGGAAGAACTTTTGCTCAAGGCATGTTCATACTTCTCTAACAGTGGGACAGGTTTTACAAGACCTGCACTGTGCAGAGTGCGGGAAGATTGAGACACTCCAGTTTAAAAGCTTTCTCAATCGATAGTGTTTCTGTTAAAAGCTGAAGTGATGCAGAATAAACAGCGCTTGTCAAGGTGATTTTAAAATGTCTCCAAAATGGTTATGCAACAGCTGGTGATAGGTTAATAGAATATTCACATGGTATTTTTGCCCAGGCTTGGGGTTCGTATTCTTATTTTACCTAAATAGCGAGGAAATGAAAGTAGTGTGGCTGCTTCCTACACTGCTTTGGCTCCAACCCCCCCCCCCAAAAAACCCTCTAGAACAGGTGTGGGGACCCTGAGACTTTCTAGATATTGCTGAACTACAACTTCCATTAGCCCCAGCAAGCATGGCCAATGGCCAGGGATGGTGTAAGGTGTAGTTCAGCAACATCTAGAGGGTCAAAGCTTCTTCACACCAGCTGTAGAACATTCCCAAAAGGCCAGAGACATGACAACGTATTTCATCAGCAGTGGCTCATGGTGTGAGATTCCTAAATTGCAGGAGTTTGGATTAGATGACCCTCAGGATCCTTTGCAACTCAACAATTCTATGTATTCTATGATTCTTTGATTCCAATGCTGGCATAGTTAGTAGTCATGGCATCAACTCTTCCCATGTGGCCTTTGGGTTCTTGTGGCATGGGAGCTAACCATGGTGCTACACATGTTTCTAATTTAATGGGAGAACAAACCCACAATGGGTCAAAACTGCAGTCTACAATGCAGCTGTTTTGATTCCATATCTATTTGCTCAGTAGTGACTTATCCAATGCTAGCTTTACAGCAAGACAGTGATTTACCCAATGTTCCCCAGTATGTTGAACATGGATTTGAACTACTCTAGTTGGTTAAAATTCAGCCCCTCTGTATAGTACAGTACAATGGTTTTGAGATCAAGCTATCCCCAAGTTTTTTGTTAGGGGAACAGAGATTTCTGGGAATGGCTATGGATAGGACAAAAAAAGTCATATACAAGGCACAAGACAGTTGCACATAATGTTGCTAGGGTTTTCTGCCTGGTCTCTTGCAAATAAAATATATGTCTTGTCTATAATGTTTTCTTTTCTTTTCTTTTCTTCACTGCACACCAAATGCTGTATTCTGTTCAAAGACATTCCTGTTTGCTCTCTATTTCAACAAATTGCATTGCTGATTATTATTTTCACAATCATTGCTGATTGTTGGCTGGGGTGGTCAATGTGGTATTCCCCAGAAGTTTTGAACTTCGACTCCCAGTAGCCCCATCAAGCATAGTCCATGGTAGAGGATGATGTGTGTTGCATGCACCAAAACCCAGTTGAAAAATCTGTATGTGCTTATATATTACATGACTTCATAAAAGTGTGTGCAGAAAAGACATCTGCTTCCAGCCATGGATTAGATATTAGCTCAGTTATCTGAAGCCAAAGTATTTTCAGAGCTGGATGCTAGGCATGGCTTTTGGCAAATTCCCCTTGCCAAAGAATTAGTCAATTGACTACTTTCATCAGTTCATTTGGAAGGTACTGTTTCAGTTTGCTCCATCCCAACCTATGCTTGGTCCATGACAGTTCCAAAGAAGATTGCAATAGGCTTGATTGTGCTATGAAGATGTTGTGTTGGTTTATGACAAAGTTAAACAAGAATGTGATGAGTGGTGACATACAATACTGGTACATTATCAGCAAGCTGGATTTGGTCTGAATTAGAAATAGGGGCATGGAAACAAACAGATGAAATTGGTTGGACAGATAGCTAGTATGCAGAGCATCCAATGTGAATCTGATAAACTAAAGGCACTCTTGGGTCAAGCTTTGTCTGCAGTAAGACTTCTGAGCTTTTCTACCAAACATGCCTCCAATAACAAAGCTTTTATGGCTATGCACACATAGCCATTCAAAGTAGATTTTGAAAATATATATATATAATAGTTTTTATTTGATTTTACAAATTATTTCATTCTCATAATCACAAATAATAAAAATTACACAAGATTCTTCCAAATCTCAAGACTCCCCCTCCTCCCCTCCATGGGTTCTTTAGATAACTTTTTAAACTGTCCATCTAATTTATAATCCCCCATTGTATCCAAAATCTGTGTAACATTACCAGAGTATTTAAGACCTGCTAAAGAGTTCAAGTGTTTACAGTGGTCTTTCAAATGTAATATAAACTTCTCCCATTATTTATTGAAGTTTTGATCCTCCCGGTTTCTGATTTTCCAAGTCAATCTTGCCATCTCTACATAATTCAATAATTTCATCTGCCAGTCCACCCTGGTAGGGATCTTGTCATCTTTCCAACTCAGGGCAAGCAGCATCCTTGCAGCTGTTCAAAGTAGATTTGATGCTTGCCGTGTGTGCATGTATTTTTTTTGTATAGCATTGTCCTTATCTAAGCCTATACACAGCCTGTGCACACACACACACACACTCCCTGTTTGATTTAGATTTTCCCATTCTGTGGATAATGTGTTGCTGGCAGAGTGTTTGTGTTCCAGCATAAAATTCCATGTTGCCCAACTGTGGATGTATGGGAGTGCGTTAGGGTGTGGTGGGGTGTATGTCATGAGTTAGATGATATTTTGCTGGGTACTGTCTATCACCACACAACCTACTTTCATTAGCAAGGGGCTGCTAGGGTTGCTATTGGAAATGGGGATAGCACATACACTTTAAAAAAAATATATAAAAAGCTCCCCCCCTTTTTTTAAAAAAGTCTAGTACATCAGAAAACAGCAGCACATGCTCACAATGGATCTCAGATTTCCCTAATGCAGGTGGCTAGGGATCAGCGTAGACAGTTGGGCCTGATGAGCATTTACTGTTCCCAATCCAAAACCTGTGGAAAGCCATCTAAATCAGATTTTAATTTTATCCTGATTTGTTTTTAAGAGGTAATTTAATTATTGTTTGATTTTATATCAATGTTTATATTTGATGTTAGCCACCCTGAGCCTGACCTGGCCGGGGAAGGCGGGATACAAATAAAAGTTGTTATTATTCTTATTCTTATTCTTATTCTTATTCTTGAGTAAGGACACACACACACACACACACGGTACTGCCCACTAGCATAAATGGGAAACACAAAGATGCAATTCAACTGAAAGTGCTTATGTTTGGATGAATATGCACAAAAGCACACATAGGAAAATCAGATCTGTGTGGCTTATATGCACATTGCCGCACTGATGTGTACACAGCTTAGAATTCCCAGAGGGTTAGGTTCTTTGCAGCAAGAATGATGGCGAGTCTTATGGCACCATAAAGGCTGACAAACATATTACATTACGAGCTTTTATGGACTACAATACCTCATCAGATGCATGAAGTATTTTCTTGAGTTTGACTACCCTATGTTCTCTCTCAAATGGACCTTGAGCTTGTTTGGAGGTTCTAGCAGGGGAGTGCAGCTATCGTATACCCTTGACCGAAAAACGGTACACTCCTTCTATCTAGGATGGTCTTCCTCTTCCACCGAGCGCGCAGCTTCTGGAGAGATGCACACAGAGCAGGGAAGAAGGGAAGAGATACCCACCTAGCCAGCCAGATCAGCCAAATCAACCCTGACAATCAATGGGGTGACAGATGTCGCAGCCATCCTACATACACACAAATCCCATTTAATTTAGATACCTGAGTTGCAGGCTTATACAGTATATGCATTGTTGGTGTCCTGTGTGCCCAGAATTATAAACGTGAGATAAGAAGGAAAAAATATATGCAGAAAAGCATGAATGGTGATAATTACCTTATTAACAGTGACCTTTCACATACAAAAATAAATAGTTGATAACACAGGCATCATGTTATTGAGAACTGATTTATCACCTGTAGTGTGACAAAAATCCATTGTGCCATTTAAATCAACACATGATAGCACTAAACCTCTTGATGTATTGTAATTCAATGGCTTGATGATGTCTCCCTCTGAAGTTTATTTGTGCAAGAATAGCCACCTTCAGGTCAGTTATGGTGTATACTGGGAGTCTGAAATATTCTCTCCCTACTGTTACTATATTGTCTCATCTGATGCCAGATTGTTGTCTCTTTGATTCTTTTGAATACAGACTGGCCTGTCTCTGCTATATAGAATTCCGAACAATTCTTTTAGATTGAAATACTTTATTTTCACTTGTACAACTTGCATACAGTGAGATTCCACAAGCACCCCCCCCAGCTCTCTTAGACTTCATTCCCCTCGTTTACAGACGCACACCCACTAAACCCAAAAGTCAGTTGCCCTGTTGTTATCTTTTTATTCAGCAGCCTAAGAGCCCATGGATAGAAGCTGTGCTTTACCCTGTCAGTACGACTAATCATGCTTCTATATCTTCTGCCTGAGGGCAGGAGATCAAGAAAGTGCCGGCCAGGGTATGAATCATCCCTGAGAATTTTCCTCACTCTCCTGAGGCAACGTTCTCCGGCATGTCATCCAGTGGATTCACAGGGCAGCCCATAATATCTTGTGCTGTATTCACCACCCTCTGTAGGCACTTCCTATCAGTTGATGTCAAACCAGCGTACCACACCGTGATGCAGTATGAATGGACACTTTCTATTGTGGACCGGTAGAAGGAGATCATCAAATGTTGATTAGATGGATAGAACACTGCAGTGGCGTAGCGTGGGGGGTGCAGGGGGGGCCGGCCGCACCGGGCACAACATTTGGGGTTTAGGGTTAGGGGGGCGCAAATCCACAGGTTAGGGGGCGCAAATCCACGGGTTAGGGGGCGCAAATTACTTGCCTTGCCCCGGGTGCTGACAATCCACGCTACGCCACTGGAACACTGCAATCACACAAGGAAATGTTCCTTGGACAGTTGGTAAAGTCCGGTGTCGATAGAGGAGATAGAACTTTCACTTCAGAGAAAGAGATCAAAACAGGACTTAAAAAAAGTAACTGTTAAACAGTTTTTTTATATATATTTTTTTTTAAAAAAAAAATCACAGAAAAGTGGTGCAGCGAATGTACAATTTATAAAATGAGAATTTGTGAGAAACCAAAATTAACTTCATTGTCCATCTTTATATTTCTGTCCGGAATTAAAGAGAGATAGAAAACCCTCTTAAACTGCCACACTGCATAAAGTTCTACTGATATGTACATTAAGACATACGATTAATTAAGTTAGATAAACAGGTCGCTTTTGGTAGATATAATGTACCACTTTTGTGATTTCACATGGCTATTTGGGTTTTACTCTGAGTCTTTAATGTCCCATATTAGGGAGGTGACACTGTGAAGCAGCAGGGGGTTAGTGGTTTTTGGAAATGTAATTGATTCGGAGATTGTTTTATTTGATAATTTGATTTTGCATCCAGACACTTGTATCTTTTCTAACCATGACAGCACAAAATTGGCAAATGCCACATTACACTGAAAAATGACAGCTGCAACAGGCATTCCATTTGTGCTGACACACGGACATGTTTTTCCCCAAGAGTAATAGACCCTTCACTGCAGTTCTCCCAGGAGTTTCTCACGGAAGTTCCATGTAGTAAGAAGTCACCAGGTGACTATAAAACTAGGAGCTCAGATAGCTGCTACAATCATCTCTAGCAAGCCCTCTTCCACCTCCTCCTGAGCACTATTGCCAGTTACTCCCTCCAACAGTATCTCTCTCCCCTCCTTGAATTTGAAAAACGAAAAGCCACCACTCACTTCAACTTCCTTTTTACCTCCCTGCTGCTGCAAATCTAAGAAAACACCACACAGTCCTCAATGCAGTGTTGGAAAGAACTTACAATGGGTGTCTATAAAGCCCTGTCCATCAAACAGACCCCTTGGTCTACGCAAGTATTTTCTTCTGTGACAGAGAAACAATCCACATGCCTATTTTCTATCTATGCCATCACATAAAGGAGAATAATAAAAATAAACCCTACATTTCCACATGAAAAATCAACGCCACCAAATTATACCTTTCGTCCGCAGCAACTGAAGTGTGGACAAGCAGAGCATGTTGTGTTCAAATGTTCAGAAAGCATTTCAGATCTAAACACCCTTACTGTCTGGGTCAAACAAGCAAGAAAAAAGAACAAGAACAAAAACAAAACAACAGAAGTAACAGCAATCCAAAGATGCTGAAAAGAATTAAATGTGAAAACGCTTTTTTTTTTTTTTGTCCTGCAAGAATTAATGACCATTCATAAAGGAACTTTGTGTGAAAACAAACTGAAAACTGTTTTTGTTTAAATGGTGGGTGGCTAATGTTAAGCTTTTTGACTTCCAATACTGATGCTAGTTCCTGACAAACCACCAGGAGAAACAAATCGATCCTTGAACGAATTTGTCATGCTAAAAGTACATGAAAACATCTTCACTGCTGAAGCTAAATATAACCAGGTCACCTGAACCTGCAGCCTGGAACTGAGCACTCTCTAAAAGTCACATCTTGTTGAGTTCTCCACTTTTCTTTTTCTTCCATTTAGTGCAGTTCAAGGAATATCAAGGGAAGAAAAGAGTTGGGGTTTCTATGGCAACCATTAGGAGTTGAAAGTGGTTGTTGTTTTTGTAAAAAAAGTGTAATGGTTATAACCCCACAGGTATGTAAATTGAAAATGAAGATGCAAACATTTCCCTCTGGGTTTTGAGGCTCTGTGGTCCAATTTAATCTGTATTTTTGAGTGAGGAGCCCTTCACCTTGTTTATTAACTCTTAGCAACACTTTTTCTGGGGGAATAAAAAGCAGAGTGAGGCCGTGTTGTAATTGTATTGTCCTGTTCTACAAACAAAACAAACTTGCCAGTTTCCATGGTAACTACTGCATCATTCATTTACTGCTCATCTCACCTGCCCATCGCCACCACCTGAATTTTCTCCAAAAGGTTAAAAAAATAAGAGCACTATTTATGCTGCAGTGAAAAGTTTGAGTGGTTACAAGCCTCTGTGCTCTGACGTCATCCCTGTAAGTGCATTACTCACCAGTAGGGCATAGTTGTGTTTGCTTTGGAGTAAGGCCACACTTTTAGTTCTGTCTCTAATGTTGCATCTACATTCTCCAACAGCTTCACATTGTAGGAGACACACTCCCTTAGCCTGACCTTTGTATATTTTTAGGACCCACTCTATTTGTTTTGATTGTATCCTGTGCAATTTTTAAATTGTTTTTAATGCTTTAAATTTTAATACAGCAATTTTAAATTACTGTAACCTATCTTGGGACCTCTGGGTGAAGGTTGGGATGATGATGTTGATGTTCATTCATAAATGCCCATACAGCTAGGATATCTGAAAAGAGGAGGATCATTGACCCTGTGGGAAGGTGGAGGTGAAAACAGTTTAAAACAAGAGGAAAAGAAGGGAAGTATTATTAGATATATTGAAATTATTGGATATTACCATCTTTAGGTCAATTAATTTCAATGGGTCTCACTCTGAGTAGAAATATCATTGGATACAACCCTCTGACAGCTACTGCATCTCACATCAAATGCATTAAAATTACCCTAAAAAAAGGTATCAAAGAATTTTCTCAAGTTGTTTGACACCCTCTTTCATTTTGCCACCCCAGTTTCTCAAAGAATGAAATGAAAAACTTTGTCAGGGAAAGTTGGATAAGCTCTAATACAGCCTTCCTCAACCCTGTGTCTTCTAAGTGTTTTTGACTACAGGAGCCATCATTCGTGACCATTGGATGCTGTGGTCTAAAACATCAAAATAGCACCAAATTGGGGAAGTCTGTCCCAAAATATTGTCTTTACATGTCACTGAAAGGTCAGCAAAGTGGGCACCATCCTAGGAATCCTGGTAAAGCATTTCTCCATCAGGGAGCCACCAGTGCGAAGACCTTGTCTCTGCCCACTAAATGTCTCATCTCAGATTGCGCTCATCTAGGAAAAAGAGGAGGTCTTAAAATGCCCACCCAGCTAGGGTCAGGCCAAAGCATTCAAGCCTGTGGTGGGTGAGCAAGGGATTTCTGTTTGGGGTGAGTTTTCATTTACAGTGGTACCTCAGGTTAAGTACTTAATTCATTCCGGAGGTCCGTTCTTGACCTGAAACTGTTCTTAACCTGAAGCACCACTTTAGCTAATGGGGCCTCCTGCTGCTGCCACACCTCCAGAGCCCTATTTCTGTTCTTATCCTGATGCAAAGTTCTTAACCTGAAGCACTATTTCTGGGTTAGCGGAGTCTGTAACCTGAAGCGTATGTAACCTGAAGCGTATGTAACCTGAGGTACCACTGTATCTTTTAAAGAAATTGATTCTCTCTCAACTTGGTTTGAAATGGAGGGTTGAAATATTTATTTGTGTATCACTTATTTCAGTTGTGAAGTGCCTTTCACAAAACATCCAAAAGTGGTTAAGCAATAGCATCCTCTTCCCTCCCTACTCTTCTTATATATTCATATATCTTCCAATATAGATACAGAATGGCATGAAATAGTATTGTTTACAGGGGCACCCCTGGGGGGAGGGGGCTGTCCTCATGGGATTGGAGTGGGAAAGGAGCACTTTAATAAGAACAACAGGAATGTCATCATATCACCTCTTCTGTTTGTACATACCCACTCCTCCACCTGGTGGCATAGGGTGGGTTGCCAAGCGCCCAGTGTTGCTTGGAGGGGGCAGGTGGGAGGGAGGGAGGGAAATGGATGGAGTACACATGTAT